TGGCTGTATCCATCCTCGTAGTCCTCTTCTTATCCTACACCATTGTTCCCAATTTCATGCTATCAGAGAGGCCGCATGTTTTCCTCTGCAAAGTTGTCAGAGGCATAAAAGCCAAGGAGCAGGGTCACATTTAGAGGGATGGGCATGAAAAATTGGTAAAATGTATCGGAAGCCCACCCACTTGATGGTTGCTTAGAGCAGCTCAGATTCAGGTTGAACAATTCGACTTTTGAATTCATTTTTGGACGCGCACTACAAAACTTTTTAAGCGTCAATCTCCTTGCTTCATTATAACGGCGGGCAAACCATGATTGATTTAGAACGAATTTATAGTGGTAGATTGAAAACTTACTAACAAACTAAAAAGCTTTCTGGCCATTGTTTAAGCTTCTGTCGTCTATTCTACTCGATTTTCTTTTCAAATCTGTTCACATTTTGTGGCTGTGATGGTTCCAAATTCCAAGTTTTAAAAACGTTAAACTGATATTGACGAGCCAAATTGTAGCTGAAATAGTAACTGCACCTTTAAGAGAGAGAAAGAAATGAAAGCAATAGTAGTTCTTTATTCGTGTTCAAGAATCCACGCATTAGAGTTTATGTCAAATTCTTAATACATGGAAAAACATTCATCCCACAACAAAACCTTGCAGCTCAACAAACGTAAGGGTGCATTGCTAAATCTATCCTACTTAATGAACATACAGACTCATGCATTGCTGAGAAACTATAGCAAGGGCGCTACGCATTATTAGAATTTCCCTTTTTTGAAGCAAAATTGTAGGAACTGCGCTCCTGAAAAAACAGAGCGCTTTATCCTTTACTTCATGGACATGTCATGCATTTTGTATGTTAAACAGTCTCATGGACATCTGTCATGATTGGTTTTAATCTGCTAGCTAAAAGTCTGGATTTAATCTTGCATTACACCTCTTTGTACTGCAGTCAGTAAGTGACAGTACTGCCATGAAACAATGACTGTACTCATTCCATCCAATATGCCATGTGGTAGACCCTTTTTCTGGACCAGTTCTTTAGAAAGAATACAAAACAATGAAGCATCTGGTGGGCTTTTCCTGTTTCAAAGTTTTTTTTTGTCAGTAATTCTACTCACCCAGGCCGCACATTTCTCCCTTGATGCTACTAACCGAGACAGGGTGTGTCAAGCTAGTGGTGAGAGGTCAACAGGCCAAAGTGATGAATTTTTATGCTGCTGTTTCTTGTGTTTCTGCCCAGTCACAATTTTCTGCTTGCTGTGCTCGCTCTGAAAGGAATCACAGTGAGCAATTTGTCCTTCTGGGCAGGGAATTGGATGGCAGATGAGTTAAAAAGTGGATATCACATTGAACAAAAGAACACACAAATGTCTTCCTGTGGAGAAACAGAATACTGCTGTCAAAGCTTAACACAAGATGTACATTGGAGATTTGTGGTCCTCAGCCACACAGGATTGACAAATGAATTTAATGGCATCTTTTTAAATATTGAAAAGGAATCGCCATTCAACAGGTGGAGAGTACTACGGGGATGCGTTCCAGATGTTCAGCTCCACAAATAACAGCCCAGCATTAACATGTCAACTTTACTAAATTATTTATTCATTGAAATTACTGCAGCTTTTATGTGTGTGTGTGTGTATGTGGGTGGGGGGGGGGGGCATCAGAGGTCTGGTAGTTAATCGCTTGTTTAAATGTGAATCAACTAATTTTTCTTAAACCAAGGCTGTAGCATCTAAGCAATATTTCCGTGAATGCCTGGAGAGATGCTAGCGATTGTGATCTTTCTGTGAAGCCAGCCACTTGCCTTTAATCACATGTGGGGTTTTAAGTTTTCAAGTGGTCACTCTTCAAGCTCTCTGCATTTCAATGCCTCCTTGAATGTTCTCGATTCCCTGATTAAACATATTCTAGAAATAAAAGAAGTCACTGTGGCCAAGTACACCGCACATATTTCTGGTTAATTTAATTTCATTGACGTTCGCAGTCATACACCCTAAAGATTGAATATAGATAAAGAAGCAAGATATTTCTGCAGGGAGAATTCCAATGTAGTTACTTTAAAATGATTTATGTTTTGTGGCACAGCTGACAAATACTGCGTCTATTTTCAATGCAGTAGTACTATTGCACTGCATGATTTATGAAAGAGAAGATATTTTAAATTAAATTGATTCTATATAAATATAACTCTTGTACTTGAAATGTACTGATAGTATAAATCAATATAGTATTCATATATTGGACAAAAACACAAAATGTAAGTTTTTTCAGATGTTCATTTTTATGTATCAGAAGATGCTTCAATAGAGTCCCTTTGCTCTAGTATATTTTAAATAGAGAAGCAGTGAAATGCACTTGACATATTTTCAATAAATAATGAGACAAAGACGAAACCCAATTGTGATAAAGAAGTTGGAAACCGACACTAAAATCTTATGTGAACCTGATTTCTGCTGTATGGTATTTAAAAATAGCTTACACAGATGATAAAAAGGATCACGTTTTTTCAATGGAGATAACACTACTGTGAGATTATTGTTGGATTTATTTATCTTGGAAGGCGTGAAAGGAATAGGTCATTTATTTGATTATTAGAAATACAGATTTTTGTTAATCAGCGAAGCGTTAAATCCGTTTGTTACTGGGGCAGTCTAGGTTCTCTGCACATGCTTTAAAATCATGACTATTGAACAGTGCCCACTCTGAGGTTGGTACAATGATTTTAGACGGTCTCTGCCCTGTCCTTTCCAGTCCTTTTTATCCATTCACTTAGGAAAGCAACTTAAGCGCACTGAAGTGCATTAGCATTTGGATGCTTGGTCCATATTGACCCTTGATTGGAAAGTTTAAATGACTGAAAGATGGACCGATTTGTTAGGGCTTTAGAAAGCTAGCAGGTTCTGCTTTGGTTTGTGCCCGTACTTGTTCTGATGTGGTGCAGCATTTAAAGGCAACCAAGCTGATTTGTGACATAGGAGTCTAAAGGGCTCTTTAGTTTGATGTGATTAACTAATCTGTGCTTTGAATTTAAACTTTGAGCCAGAAGTGTTCAGTATGGGAACCAGTTCTTCTGTGGATTATGTCATTCAAAACTGTTTTCAAACACAGATGGTAAAATGTTGTGCTGATCAAAAGGGGAAGAAAAAAGGGGAATTATTTGGTTGAAGTGTTCAGTGGTGTGTGGCTGACATAAGCTGAGAATCAATTTAAAATACTACGATTTTGAGAAATATTGCACAACATTGATCTGATATTGATGTATTTTAATTGCTTCAGGACACACTTGATGCTGTTTTTGATTTTGTTTATACTTTGTGGTTTGTCAACTTGACAGTGTAATGAAGGAGTTGCCTGGCAGCACTGAAGGTGACGGGAAAAATGTTTGTTTCTCATTCCCATTGCTTGGTCAGAAGGTAGCCGCAATTGACAACAATAATGTGTATATAAAACTCACCTACAATTCTGTGCAATTCACATAGCCTCTTATGTTATTTCAGAGTGAATCAAACATATTTACAAATCGCCCTATTTGCAACATTATCCCTCACAATTAACACTCGATTGCAGAAGACAATTGAGAAAGAAGGTAGTGTTTAACATGTACATTCTTTCACAGTTAATGGAGAGAGGTTTTTTTGTAAAGTTTTTTTTATGATTAAGAAACGCAAAATATTTTCTAGAGACGTTAAAATGAAGTAAAGTGCAGTGTAGCACAAGTCATCGGGTGTACGTTCTATTGTATTCTCGTAGAAAGGATTATCAGTACAGTGCTACTGTTCTCAGTTTATTGTTTTTTCCAGAGCAGAAGCAACAAACCAGATCGGCTTAGTCGCCCAGAAGCCTGGCACACAGGCCTGCAAAGTTGCTATGGTAGCCAGAGAGGGATGCACAATTTTCCCACAACATATACACACTAATTCCACTGGGACTGCCAGATCCTTTCTTTGTACCCACTTGAATCAAACTAGGTGGTACAAACCCCAAATGGACACTGTCCAGCAGTACAGAGTGACCAAAAAGTTGTAATATCTATCCTATTATCTAAAAAAAATCATAATTTATTTAAGATTTATTAGATATTGTAATGGTATCAGGTCTTTTTGGTCACCCTGTATATGTTAGCAAGTCAATGTAATCCATCAATAAGTACAGAATTTTAGATAATAATGTATTACAACATTACTTTTAGAGTTTCAGCTGTCACTTGCAAAGGAGAATGAGAATTGTCTAATCTTATCATCCAGTTGATTAAACTGTTGGCAAAAGTAACCATTGAGATTATAAGCATTAATGCCAGGAGGTATTTGGTTGCTCTCCTTGCTTTCTTTTGTCGACCAAGGACCTTACAAGAGTTCACAATTTGTTATCTTAGTAAAAAGGTGTGGTTGACAATGTACTACCACAGCTGTGTTTTTCTTTATAAAAATAGTGATTGATTAATTAGGCAGTCTCACTGATGAAGGTGATAATATAGATCATTTGCGAAACAAAAACATAATAGTGCAGCAGCAGATGCTCCTTTTTCAGATTGTCAAAGAAACCTATTGCCTTTACCTGACCTCAGAGTGCCAAATGTTCACTATCAGTAAGTTATAGTGTCCGTTCCTGTTTTTATTAAGTGCTAAAGCTGCTCAAATACTTATTATTTCCAATTCTTGAAACTGGTGGGAAATAGAATCATATTTTCAAGCAAATTTTTTGCAATCTGGCTGATTGTTTCAATGGAAATAATTATTTTTACTGAATAAGTCAGATCCTTAAATGAATTATTTTAATTCATCTGAAACATCGTAAATGCAAACATAATTGAAGCTTTTGCTTAATGTGTTTCAAAAATCAATCTACATTGCATTGAAAAAAGAGTCAACAAACTTTATTCCCATGCTTAACATAATGGTTTATTGTCTTTTGGATGGTTCATACCTAACCTTGAAAATGTAACAGGAAGTCTATTTAATGTGCTGCAGCCTCCTTACCTAAAGCATGTCATTTTTGTCTTTCTAGGCACTCTGTCCATCAGCAAAAATAGAAACTATTCGATTACCAGAAACGAATCAAGTAAACAAGTTAATTTTCCGTGAATCAAATAACGATCGAAAGGTATGACTGTGTTCTGTAAGCATGAAATGCTTTTGTGGTATGCCTTTATAGCTATAAAGTGGAAATTGATTTCTAATTGACTTTTGTCTTTACTTAAGGTGATGCTTCAACTAGAAAAGAAGCTTTTTGATTACTTTAACCAAGATATTTTTCGACAGAACAATGGGGTGGAGGTGAGTCTTTCATTTGCCACGTGCAGAGCATGTTACAGCAAAGTTGGTTCACAAATGGACATTAGGTTTGAAGACTTGTAAGCAGTAAAACAATGAACTGTACTGTTCTTCACTGTATCCTGTCTTATCCAAAATATCAACCCAGTGTTGACTTATTAATGTGCTGTTTGTTGTTATGGATGTGTTGATAATTCAGCACAAACACTAAACAAGAGAAGCATTTATTGCTGAATCCCAGCTTTGTTTAATGAGTAACCTCTTTTCTTTATGCTTCTGGTCTGTGAAGGCATTATTTAAAAATAATTTGTTGTGGATTAATTTTTCCACCACATACGATGGGAAAGTGAAAGTAACCATAAAATATTAACCCTTGCATTTGATACAGCGCCTCATAATGTTGTCGAGACATCTCATTATAACATGGTATAAACAGAACATATGATTTCTATCCCAAGTTGTGTGCATTGTTAAGTTCCCTAAAATATATTCTGGTATCCACAAGTTTTGGCTATAACCAACCTGCATCTAATACTTTTTGGGAACTTTTAGTAGTTTGATTTGAATCTCTCAAGTATGATTATGTGTTTCTGTGACACACAGCTGACTCAAAAAGAAAATAAATAATTCTCAAAAAAGAAAAGAAATCATTCTCAAAAAAGAAAAGAAATCATTCATCATTCCCTGAATGTTGACCACATTAGAGTCTCCAATTCATAAGGTTTCATAGAGTTTATTTTGAATGCTGAAAAGCAATTTAAAAATGGTAAATATCGTAGAATCCCATAATAACAAAGTAGTTCCAACCAGAGTTATAAGGGGTCATGATTTCTGGTCAGCAGTTCACTGAGCATACTTCACATGAAGGAAATGATGTCAGTAGTGATCTGATGACCTGGAGGTCAGACAGATTTTAGTGAATGAAAAGGCGAACCGACAATTTAAAGCGAACTGGCCAAATTTCTGTGCACATTTAAGGATATTTTAGTAAATAAATGTTGGGGGCCACATCCCAACCATGTTTACAAGCAAACTCAGATTTATACAAATAATGAAGCACATCACAACAGGGATTCACTGTTATGTACTTACAGAAGTGATCCTTGGAAGATTTATTTACCATTACCTTGACACCTTGAATATACCCTTGATTAGTTTTATCCTAAACACTAAATCACTGCTACTAAACTGGAAACAAACTGAAAACCTGATACAAGCTGTTTTTCTCATGTTGGAAAATTGTTAACCAGAGGGTAAGACCAAAAGCAGTTGAACTAGTTTCACACATCCAACCTCTCCAAGATTTTTGACCAGCAACTTAAATTTAGCATGATAGAGAATACATTCTAAGATTTATAAAAGGATTTGTAATGGAGGAAATCCTGAATGCATCTGACCATCTCTCCAGAATTCTGTTCGGATGTTGACTTTCATGGAAGTTGGAACTGTGATAATCGTTTGAGTTGAGTTCCAGAGATTTGGCCATGCCACATCCAGGATTCACTATGTACAGCTCTTCAGTGGTGTAATGGGCCATGGTTTGCTTCCCGGTAACCAGTTCTGATACGGAACAATAGAGGGTTCTAAGGCTGAATAAAGCTGTATTTACTTGCATTTACAACCCATCTCACTTGAAAAGAACTTTTCTTTAGATTTGTACATAATCAAAGTTAGTTCAAATGAAGATTCTGGTGTGTTTTATGATGGAATAATTGAGTGCTTTAATTAGCCCTATTGCAGTCTGAATCAAATGTCAACATTGCTTTTGACGGTTAGAGTTTAAAATGCTATTGTATTATAATTATTGAGATGTAGCTGCTTAGTTTATTCCAGCAATGTAGTCTTTTACCACATATTAATATTAATTTCCTTCTCCAATTGCTTGGAATAAATTGCTTGGAATGATGCCCCTCATAATGTTCACACCGTGAAATGGAGCATATTCAAGTTACTTTCAGCTGCATGAATCCCAGTGCTATGAGGCTGAATCCACTTTATCCAATGAATATGAAGGAATGTTTAATGTGGTTAGATCGATATTCACAAGGGGGAAAACAAATCCAGCAATTGTGTAAAATATTCCAGGAAAATTGTTCAAAATGAGGACTTTGCCCTTTAACCCAGGCTTGTGAATTAAGCAATATGAACAGAGCAATTGGCAATTATCAGGCAATTGGAAGGACTTAACAGAAATGAGAATCTCAGGTGACGTAGGAAAGCATAAGCGTGAAGCTGGAGTGCTTTTTGTTAATTATCTAACCTCTCAGGTTATGTAATGGACATCAATTCCCTTTCACTTGTATTTCTCAACGAATGCTGTTTTTCTTATTTGTTCAATTTGAAAATTACTGGTTATTTACTGGTACACAGAGGTCCCCTGGGGAATGCAGAGTTCAGGCATTGTGACATAACCAAGTGGAAGTTTATTGATCGCATAACTGGTGTGCTGAATATTTTAGCTCAGTAAATGGAGTCAGGAGGAGCTCTATAGAAAAACTCTTAAAATATCATCTAGAGATCAGTACTTGGCCTTACCTACCCCTCAAATAACCTCCCTTGTTAAGGAGTTGCTCTTGTAAGACACTACTCTTTTAAAATCTTAACTGTTTTTAAGTTGGTGCCCACCTCGTCCAATTATTCTGCCTCGGCTCTTTACACAATTTAGAAAAATATTTTGTTCTTTGATGCCTGAAGAGTAATGGCACTGTACTGGGCTGTATAACATTATGTCATACAGACGAGATAGCACACAGGTTGATTACAGGGCTGGGCTCAGTTAGTTGGTCCCAGTTGATATGGCATGTGTTGTGCTACAATTGGTCAATACAGCTTTCAGATATAACAAAACAGAACAAGAGGTTACAGGCTCAGGATTGTGAAGGGCAATTTTAGAACATCCAACAGGAAATATTTATTTATACAGAGGTTAATCAATAGCTTACAAGTTTACTTGGAAGGCCGAAGTCAGTAGACAAGACTTATTCAAGAATCATCTATTTAACATAAAATAGGCTGTTTCCACTGGTTGTGGAGTTCATAACCAGGGGACACAAATATAAGATAGCGACTAAGGGGATCAAAAAGAGAATTTAGGGGGAACTACTTCACGCAGAGGATAGTGAGATTGTGGAACTCACTTCCTGAAGTGATGGTTGAATCACATAGTATAGATCCATTCAAGAGGAAGCTGGATCTTTACATGAGGGAGAGAGGAATAAAAGGATATGGGAGGAGCAAAGGAAGAGGTGGAAACTCATGTTCAGTATAAACACCAGCATGGACTGATTTGATGAGTGGCCTGTTTCCGTGCTGTGTATTTGTAAAACTTTGTAAATATTGATAGCGTAATTTTAAGTAAGTATGGCTAATATTTTGGGATGATGAGATCAAATGGGCCAAATTGAATAAGGTCAATTGGCCCCAAATAACTTTATAAATAAGTTCAGTTTTCTGCTATGTAATGCTATTCCTTTCTTTTTAACTTCCACATAGTAACATAAGGCTACATTATTCCCCCTACCATTGGGAGCCATATAAAAAGCATATTTATAAAGTGTGGGTTTTGTATGATATTTGTATTGGAGCCCTAAGCAGCATGCATTAAATTAGTAAAGAGCTAGTGTGTACCAGAAAAGTGCCTTTGGGGCAGTAGTAGCAGACTGCTATATAATGCTTCTGTGGGACGGAGAATGGTTTAAGTGGTCTAAAGACTCTTTTACCATGGGCGGTCACATTTCATATCAAATCAGAGTTGATCCAAACTGAAGTGATATCTCAGCACTTCCACTCACCTCTGCCCTGACATAATTCACATGCCAGATGATATCAAACATCAGCCCCTAACTCATGCACTGAGGTTTTCCTCAGGGGCAGCAAGTGAGCAGGGATTCAAAGCTGAATGTTTACACCACTCTGAATTTAATCACAATGAATCCCAACTGGATTTAAAGCAGCATCAGGAGGTGGGAGTTTTTATCTGAACAAAGATCTGAGTAAATAAGTCTAGAGAATTTTCACTGAAGGTTATAATGTGAAACATTTCCAAATTGAGAACAAACATAGATTGCACTGTTGTATAAATGGGGTTAAAGTGCATGAGTGTCTCCTCTCGGTCTATCTTTCAATCAGCATAGTAAGAAATTCCCTGCACTGATTACATCGGGGAGGCACAGTACAGCCAATTATTCCATAAGTGAGAAAAATGCACTTAAGACATTCCAAGAATAAGCATTGTTTCACAGAGCGATTATCTTTATACATAAAATCATGTCAACTTTTTCATTTTTAATTGAATTGCAGTGAAGAAGTATTCCCCAATTTTTCAGATGAGTTTCTTTGCTTAATTTGTAGGCACTCTGAAGATCTTTAGATTATGTGCTTGAAATTAATATATTCATATTCTGTCCAGTTTTCAAACTATTTATGAATCATAGTTTACTATTCCTAATAATAACATGTTATGGCATGTTAAATCAAGCTTCAGAATTAGGATAGGAAAGAGCGATGGATGAATGACATTTTCTTGATCGTATAGTGGAGTTGGAAATGCTCTTCTCAGGAAAGTAGTACCATTTCTGGGACATTAACATTGGAGAAAGCACCTTGTGGAATAAACTCTCTCCTTTAGGGATACCCATGTGTGTCACAATGGCTTATGGGAACTTAGTCTGATCCAAGATAACCTTGGAGTATGGTCTTGCACATTGGTGTGACCTACATGAGGTTCTCTGCTGGAGATATAATTTACATCACAAAATAGCACTTAAGCTCTAGTATTCCTGACAAACCCTTTGTCAACCTCATTCTTAGTGTTTGATGTCATTGTGCTAGTGGGAGTATAAGTTTTATGATTTTCCCGATCTAATGTAAAAAAAATTAAAAATTGACTGAAATCCCATTTTGGTGTTTGTTTAAGATGATGTTTCTCCCCTGAAGACAAATATTTTCTAAAGACTTTGACATTGAGTCAGTGCGTTCTGCTGGCTGGCTGCTTTTCTGACTGTAAACCCAGCGCTTCGTGTTTTCACATTCCCTGTGTTCCAGTAGAATTCATTATATTTGAATTCATTGCAATGCAAGAAGGTGTGCGACTTCGCCAGATCAACTTCATGAGAAAGATAAATGATTTAATGAGCCATTTGAGATAATCTAATCTTCATGGTCTAGTTATACACAGAGCGGTGTGATCACTAAAAACAAACTGCCCTTCTTCAGGATGAATGTTCCTATACCAAATTCCACCCCCCCCACAAAAAAATCTATTGCATCCTTCATCAACCACTAGTCTTGTACCAGGTTGACAGAAATTTAATTCAAGTCAGCTCTTGAAAATAATTATTGTATTTTGAGAGCAGTAATCATTGGTTTGGACATGATTGAATGTGTCCATGCCTATTGACTTTTTCTATGATTTATAGGTTTGTTTAGTCGATATTCCCATCTAAATTGTATAATTAATTATAAGTGTAGCTGTCAGGTCAGAGGATGGAATGCACTGATGAGTATTTGGGAAGATTAAATTTTCCTTTGCCATACAGATGTAGAATTGGGAATTTCACAGACCTGCTGTGGATAGAGTTGTTCTCGCTGCCTGCTTATTTAGGCTCTGACTTGCTGCATGTTGAAGTGCCATTGATTTTTGGGTTTTATCTGTGTGATGTCTCTCCAGTAACACTGGAATCTATTTGAATTGAACAATCACTGACAAACTTTCTTGTCAGTAAACTGCTTTGTCACTGTCCTCTTAGTCTCTCCCACACACAGTCTACTAAAGCACATTCTTAGCCTTGCACTGATTTTGAAACATTCTTTATTAAGTGCACCATACACAAAATAGAACATGTTTTGTTACTGGAGGTGATTTGCAATTAATTGGAATTCATGTTGCTTTTGCTTTTTAACTATTTGATGCATCACCTTCCAAATTCTGATGGTTTTCTCAGCAAGATCTGTTCGAATAACATTCTGTGAAGTTGTATTCCAAAGAGGATTAACCCATAAGGTGCTGTTTAGTATTGCACTTATGTTGTCTCTAAAATTAAAGTTAATATATGTATGTGCATTTAAATATTGTAACACCAGTTACATTTTAACATCCCAATAATAATTCTTACATTTGATATAGTGCCTTCCACATTAAGAAGATGTCTGAAAGAAATCTCAGGATATATTGTAGAGTGACTGTGTATTTTGTGGGAGAACATGGCCCCAATTTGTGCACAAAATAGCCATCAAGTGAATGAACAATTTTAATTGGGGGATTGGTGGCAAGGATACTAGGAGAAACTCTCTTCTCTTTTTGAATAAACAGGAACTTTGACATCCACTTGAATAAGACTATTCAAAAATAAATGGGTGTTTCTCGCAATGTCCTGGCCAACATTTCTAAAAATGAATTGGCCTTTATTACAGTTTGTGGGACCTTGCTGGCATAACTGTTTATAGTTTTCTCTTACTAAACAGTTAAGACACTTGACAGCAATTAACTGTGAAGCACTTGTGAAACAAGATATCAATGTCATAAAACATTTAAAATCTAAATTCTTTCTTTACAATATGTAGCATGAGTTCCAAATTCTAGTACCTATGAGAACCAAGCGAGTGTTAATTTAAAACTAAGAGCCTTCCAGTGAGGGTGGGTTGTGCTTTGGAATAGGTTATAAACACGCTAACAGACCACACAGGCTAAATTAACATTAGCATTGGCTTTAGTATCTTCGTTTTAAATTGACTTAACACAAATAGCATAATGGTTTAAATCAGTGTAAGAATTTGTATTTTTCGTGACTATTTCCAAAATGCAGATCACATATTTTCTCTTCTTCCAAACATCATTTAACGTTTGCATCTGCAAAAACCTCCAGTGAATGCTGCCAATGAGTGTGACAAATGCAAGTAGTATCACCTCTTGAACTGGCTCACTGCAGATTTGGGCTTTGGATCCTGAAGAGTAATAGTTGCTGTTCCGCTGACTGTGGTTATCTGTACTGTGTTAAAGAGATCAGTGATTCAGGAAATAGTAGGAAAGTTTGTGAATTCCTGTCATACAACCCCAGGGAACATTGCATGGATTGCACTCTTAATGTGAATATTTACTAATTCATAGATTATTTTATAATGTAAATGCCACAATGGTTATTTGTTTTTTAAAAAGATTGTTTATAGTTTAGAGAGTTGTTTATCTTCTGTCCTAAGTATAATGTTTAGCTTCAACCCATTGAGGAAAACCTATAATGCAGCAGCCCACTACATCTGCATTCAATGACTCATTCATAATTCTTTAAATAAAAGGTCTGATGAATGAGTGACTTTACCAGACCTCAAATGCACTCTAATGCCATCTTCAGTGATCTGTATGATCTGTAATGGCAAAGGTTTATAGGAGCCTATATCTGTAATATGAATGAACTCCAGCAGTATATTACTCCATTCATACCTTAGTTTGCTATCGAAAATTGGAGGTATTTAAGGTCAAAGTCAGTGGTGATTCATGACTCGTCACACATGTCATTTGTGCCGTGAAGCCCACTTGTACATCAAACAGACAGAAATGAGATTCTGTTCATTTTCCTATTAAGTAAATTAGAGGTGAAATCACGTTTGAATTGAATGCAAGTTAGAAATGAGAAGGTAAACTTCTACGTTTTCGCCTAAATTTAAGATGGACTTTTATTGCAAACTGAAATCGATCCATAGAATAGGTGACACTGTAATTTGGATAAAGCTCCCCATGTTTGAAGAAATGGTGAGACTGTTTGAGCAAGGCAATTTGGGTGTTTCCTGCCTCCGAATGGAAAGGTGGGGAGAGGTGGTCATCTTTGCAGGTGCTTCAGGTGACTGGTTTCACACAGATAATTAATGTGTACAAATAGCTGCTAATTTTGCATTTCAGGAATGATTTATGAGGTGGCATGGGATAGAGGGACATAATCTAATTTAGATCAGAACCTCTGCCACCCATACAATGATATCAGCACAGCTGTGAGATGAGAGATGATTAATGGGCAGCCAAGTAAACATGCTGTAGTCATAAAAGGTGTTATTTTGATGACATACTTGTCAGAATAGGAAATGGTACTTACAAAGAATGATGGCCAGTAGCAGAAGAGATTATTCTAAGAATTTTGTAGGTGAATAAGTCCCTTATTCACCTACAACCTGTCCTAAGAACAAACATTGATACAAAGATAATGGCTGCTATGAACAATTTGAATGCCCATTTGTTCCCAGGACAGGCAGTGTTCCTGAGATTCAGCTTTGGGTTTCAATGAAAGACAGCACCCCTACTCTTTAAATAGAAAATAAATCCCTTCAGTTCAATTTATACCTTCAAACCATAGAGATAGTAGTAAGGTCAGGGCATGATGAAATAAACTGAATTTGAACTCTTACCCACCCCCCACGTCACACACACACATGCACACACACACACACACACGTACGCACGCACGCACACATGCATGCACACATATACCTAGCTCCGTTTCTCCCAGAGTTTAAGGTAAGAACAGTACTGTCAGAAGTTGCTTCATGCTCTGGGAGACATTAAATTACATAGCTATACATTTTCAATTTAAGGCCTGGTTTTGGTTGTGGAGGCAAAGGTTTAAGCAGAGCACCAACATAATGGAGGCAATGAAATGGGGCAGTGCTTGTTTCGTCACCACACAATTTACTTTTCTGAAATTGCTCCTTCTAAACATTCGGGAGCTGATGCTGTTGTAAAACACAGGAATGACACACAGTTAAATAAATTGAGAACTAAATAGAGGATTCAATAAAATTATTAATTTGAAAATGTAGCGCATCCAGAAATGATCAGAAAACTTGTGAAGATAAATTTTCCAGCTATGGTCAGTCAAGTATTTACTTTTACCTTTACAGGTTTTATTAAGTTAAATCATGGCAAACTTCCCATTAAAATGTTGATAAATAAATCAATGAAATGCCATAATAATGTGCTGTGTGATGATTGGTTTTAATTTCTTTTTCAGCTTTTAGAATTTGACAGGGAGATTTCCGTATTTAAAGACAAGTTGAGTGAACAAGAAATATCATTTCCACCCAGGTATGACATCTCTAAGGATTCATTGTTCCTCTGAATGCATTTATTTGAAAGTGAGTTGTATTTGAAAGTGAGTGGGACTATGGTTTTCAGCAGGCTATGTAAATGTTGTGTGAATATGAGATGACAAAGCTAAAACACAAACACATACGTTTGTACATTCAACCTGTACCTCATAACAATTAACCTGTACCTCAAAATGAATTTAAAATGTTAATCCAATTGAGGATTTCAGATGATATTAATTGACAAGAAAACTTTACTTTCATATTGAATTGCTTTATTGGAATCTCCCTGGAGGACATTCACCGGGATATGAAATGCAGGGGGAAAAAAATCTGTAAACTGTCTCTTTTATAAAGGAATTTAGAATTAAAACCAAAAGGCATTAAAATGTGCAATCTACAGGACATAAAGATGCAGTATTAGCTGTTTCCCAATGTCCAAGCAGGTTGATGTTTTGGAGGAGGCATTTCCAGGATTTGTCCACAATTGGAGTTAGTCTGAAATGTAGCAATGCCTCATTAAAGTGTATGTACATACATTTACATTTCTCACTTTACAATACAACTTAGTTATTTTGCTATTTTTAAAAACAACAGCTTACTGGATCAAGTAATCGGTTTTGCGGTATCATTTACTAAGCTGTTCAACATGAAGTTCAAGATTTTTTTTCTTATACTGGGATACAAATAACTAAGATCTCAGCGTGACATGCTCATATGCTGTTTTTTATTAAAGCTTGTGGTAAACACCATCTGACCATGTTATCTTTAGCTTTTCAAAGGTTACAGTAGTGTGCCTCTTAAATACATGAAGTAAAACCTTTTACAATCTATTTTCTTTTAAACCTGGAAGCAATGTAAGGTTTTGCTCAGATTCACACAGTAGGTGCGCAATACAGAAATAGAAATAAATTGTTTCTATTTTTAATTGATGACGTTTTGGACAGCCTTGGTGAAGTCAAATGGAACAAAACATAGATGAAAGTTGTTGTTATATGTTCTGCCCCCTTGCTCGCCATTACAGTTTTGTGCTAACAGAAGCTTTGGAGCAACCCTTCCAGTTTCTCATCTCCCCGTGTTTGAACTGTTCAACTTTTGCTCTGTCCCTCCCAATGGCTGTAGAAACTCAACAATGTGAGAGAGTCAAAGCTGTATTCCACCATTGGTAGGGTGGACCCTCATTGGTGATGTAGTACACCAAATCACCATGCCATAATTACTGATTCGGGGGTGAAATATAGCTGTATCCAAATTAAGGGTGTGTTAGTAAGTTTCTTATAAATCCTCTCTCTAAGCCATACACTAAACAAAATACACAGTCAATCCACTGTACAGTATATCCTGTGAAGCACTTTGAAATGCATCGAAGACAATCAAATGCAAGGATTATTACTATTATTATGTATGTCCTATGTCCTTTTGAACTTCATGTCCTTCTTCTTATTGGCCCTTTTGTTAATTGTCAATTTACTCTTAAAGGAGTGGGTGGGGGGAGAGAATACTCTGGAATTGTAACTATAGGGTTCTAGTTTAATACTACACGCCCATTTCATGGTCAGAGCAAAGGTAGTCCATCAATCAGGATTAACTTTGAACTCGTAATCAAGAACCAAAACATTGTGTTTGAACGCAAAGCATCATCCTGTCTCATTCTTGTAGTCATGGTAAGTGAGTCCAAGTGCAATAGAATTTTAGCACTTGTGGAATTAAGTGGTTTTCTGTTAAAATTGCAAAGTTTTTTTTTCTCCCTCATTACAATTGGCATCAGACTGAAACCCCACAAAAATTGCTGGTACAATATATGGGACTCATTGGTATTACACACCCATGGATAAATTAACTAATTAAATGACACCAGGAAGCTTATTCTGGAAGTAGAGACTACTTATCTATAATATTGTTTTATTCAGTTCATTTTTAGTTGTCATTAGTTTTGTGAACTGATCAGAAATCTTTTCGCCTTTAATTATTACATTCCAAAATACAGTTGAGCGAGCCTCAACCTTAGCACATCGGGGTTGAAAGTTACATTATCATGCCTTGTGTTTAGATTTAAAGAATGCAATACAAGCTGTAAATTCATATTGCTTACGCTCAAGAAGTCATCCATCAGGTTAGCTGTGACAAGTCTGAACACTACACATACTTGTGCTGAATTTGGCTTTCCCATGTTAGTGGTCGTTCTGGAGCCAGAGAGGCATAACATGGAAATGATGGAGTGGTATGTTCTTGACTGGACATTTTCAAGCAACTTATTATGGCAAACTTGTGCTAGAAAGAATGTGAATCAATTTCATAGAATCATAATTTGCTCCAAGTAGTTGTACCCCCTTTTAATACATAGTTACAAAGTAAATTCAAAGCAGGGATTCACTCCATGTAGACTTCCCATCCAATTTCCCACAAGATTCCTTTGATGTATTAATTTATAAATTTATAACAACATTGAATCAACAAGAACTTGTCTAATTCCTTTTTGAAACCCTTTGTAGTTTCTTGCTTCACCATCTGTGATGGTACGTTTTTTCCCGGTATTCCCATCACACTTTTAAGGAAATATTTTCCACCTGCATTTCCTGTCTTATTTTATTTCCTTTATTTTAATAATTTATCCTTGTGTCGATATTATCCATCATAAAATTAAAACCAAGCAAAATCTGAACAATAACTGTGAAATTGCCCCAGCATTGAGTTTTATTTGTTAAAATGTCAGGCTTTATATGATGTACTGGACCAGAATTTAACAAGAACTGATTCCAAGTCATTGCTTTTCTCACTGAAAGTCAACCAAAATATTTGCCTGGTACAAAATAGTGCTATCATTACAAATTATTTTGCCCTTGAAAAGAGCTTCAAAAATAATGTTAAGCATGTTAAACTAATGTTGTGTGTTTGTGATATATATATATATATATATTTTTTGGGTGGGGGTGATGAGGCAGGAGGAAAATGTTAAGGACAGGCACTAAATGTTAGCTAATGAAGTATTTGTCTTCCACAGTTCATAAAAGTAAATGATAATTTGTTAAGAGCCTAGTTATATTATTTATGAAGCCATTAGGCACTGATTAAGTTTGAGATTGCTAACGTGTACAGCAGAAGAATACACTGTAGTTGAGGCTACAGTGATTAAATGAATGGCTCCTTTCCCACATCGGAGTGTTTGCCAAGTCTAGACAGCATCGATGGGAGAAGCCAATGATATACAGTTGTCTCTTCACCGTTTGCTGTTTAATAGTAGACCGAGACTAGGCTGAAGCCTGCCTTGGCAAGTTAGCATTCCTCCTAGAAACTGCAGGTCTAGAAAGACAGGTCAAAAATACTTGTCCTGAAATGTTTGAGAAAAGTAACATTTGTGAGATGTGATATGGTGGCAACAGACTGAATTAAAAGGATACACTGCTAAAAAAAAATAAAAGTGGTTCTGGCATGAGGTTACATTTAAGTAATGAGCTTTTTTAAAAAAAAATCAGAAAAGTTGGGATCAAGAAATCACATTGTATTTTCAATTATAGAAATTAGGCGCAATAAATCAATTGGATTGATTATACCAATCTTAGGTCCTGGCCTGGAACTGCCCAATAATCATTATCACTGGTTAGAAACAGCCGAGAAATGGGAACATTCAATTCATTGAGTGTGCCAAATTCACCTTTAATAAAACAATTCCTCTTTTATAAAAAAAAACTTTGACTTCTTCAAGGACTTAGAAAATAAATATTTTGAGAGAACTCAGCGTGGAGTGATTTGTATCCTTGTGACATTTCTGCATTACATGAATCATGAATCACAGAGTACAATTCTACATACAATCAATTGTGTTGTAGTAATTTGTAAAATGTCATTATGCAAATTGTTTTACAATTAGCCTGTTGTCTTCCATTACATTGGAAATAACTTATAGCTATCAGAGTATTGATTTGATACTGGAAAATATTTGAAATTCTATATGTGCCTTAAAGATGGATACCAATATGTTACATAAATTGTGTGAAGAATTATAACCCTTGCATTTGATATAGCATCTATATCAATCATCACCTGTAACATTGAGGATATCTCAAAAGTGTTTCACAAACTTTCTATGAATTGTTAGCGCTTGTGTATTTTTTAGGTGCAACATTACAATACAGAGTCAATCTCTTAGCCCAGGCACTTGCTGTAAATTCTTTCAGTTGGTACCACATCATCTATCCTTCAGGATATTAAACTGAGGTTCTGTTTCCTTATTCAGGTGGAGGTTAGAGATTATAAAATGAAGGGAGTTCTTCTAGCTAGTGTTCTAACTAACAGTTCTCCAGATAAAATTGGTCATTCACTTCATGGCTGTTTATGAGATATTGCTGTGTGGAAATTGGTAGAATTGGTAAATTTGCCTACAACTACACAGTTGCTACACTTCACAGTTAAAAAAAAATCCTGTGAAGCACTTTGAGATATTTTGATTAGGCATTATATGAAATGCAAGGGAAATTTAGTCAGGAGGTAAAACTCTGTCACATTACATAGTCTGGGCAGTCCTATCCACTGTATCATCAGTGAAGCTAGAGACACCTGTAATTGTGAATTATGAATATGTACTCAATCAATAAGCACAAAGCAGTTATAAATGAACACTTCATAAAGTGCAGCAAATGTATAAGTAACTGTTGCTTCATCAACCAATTCATTAATTGTAATATTGACTCTGGAAGCTTGGAATGTGGCATTGTTTAAAACTGAATTCCCTCCTCCCTCAGCATTGTGCACACCCCATTGCAAAAGTTTGCATTCTGATAAGCGTGTATGAATACTAATCGGGAGATATTAATCAGCATGTGGCAGTGACCCGCTTGTGTTTGTCATTGTACTGGTTTGCCATATAATCTGCTGAGATATATCAGATGTTCGTATCTACCAAGTCATCCACAGGCTGCTTTAACATTGTGGCCAGTTGAGTCCTGTGGCTTTTCGTTTCCAATGTGACATTTTCTTTGTCCTTAGCAAATGAGGGCAAATATGTTGAGGCAAAGTCAGAGAATATCACTGAAAGCTCGTAGTGGTAAAGGAGTATTTATTTTACAACTCCTCTGGCAAATAGAAATTAGTGTCTTTTAAGAGTTAACTTACACAATTCGGCTTTTTCTTGCTATTCAGTTGCTGTTTTCTCCACAGTCTTACATTAAAGAACACTTATCACTTTAAATTACACTCTACAGAGGGATTGTAGATGGCGAATACATTGTTGGGAACCATTCTGTGTGATCTGATTTGCTTTGCAGTCTATGACTCAAGTAATATTTGCACTTCTTGTCTTTTGCTACTGCAGCCCCCGCGAATTGCCTGATTGACCTCCTTTTCTTCTTAGACCTTTGACCTCATTGTTAGTTTGGTCACCATGGTGTTATTGTAACATTTGCAAGTAGCATCTGTTTAACACATTGTACTTCAACTGTAATGTTTGCAGTCCTGTATTTGCCATTTTGATTTTTTTTTAAATAAGTTGCAAAACATCTCCGCTTAATTCAGGAAAAAGCTAGCAAGGGTTCGATGAGATTTAAGGCATTGTTTGCCAAATTTAATTCGAAAGAAATTCTTAAAGAGAATGTCTATTCTAACAACAATAGATGACCTAATAACGGACCAGAAACCTTTCAAAAATGTAACATCTCACTTTGTAATAAAATGCAGCAGCTTTTAGGCAAGTGATCAGATTTAAAATGAGCTGAATCCGGTTCTGTAGCCTCATAAATTGAAAGTCAGAATGTTTTGAATAATCCCTATTTCTCTGCAGTGCCCAACAGTTTTCTGACAGGAGACTCCTGAATTAAAGCAATTTAACTTCAGTCGATTTGTTCAAAACTTGTCAAATTAAACAATTTAGGTTGACATACTGGTAAAACAAGGCAACAGACTAGGCAACATGATTATACTACGCAAATGTTTGGCTTCTATTTACATATTAGTAGTGCTTATGAAAAGGGCAGCAGGTGTCACTTCAGCCTTGAAATGTTGATGGTACCATGTTGACTTGTTTCACGTAATTAATAATTGCTTATTCTGTAGTTCATGTATATACCCTATATATATATAATACGTACGTGTGTATTTATATATACTTGAAGCCAGAAGAATTACTGAGGCAGGTACTTTCAAGAATAGATGATATTCATGTTCAGCTAAATTTTGGTCAATAAACTCGTACATGCATGTAAATATGGTAGACAAGCGCAAATTCCACTTTAGTTAACTGAGTCACTTTGGTTGGCAGATTAGATCCTTTTTAACACCTTCATGTGGTAAGCCCCAATGGACTGCCCAATTTTGGTGATGTGTGCTTATTAAAGCTAAGGAGGGATTTATTCTCCATTAAATTTAAGTATTCCTTTGACATGCACAATAGGAAATAGTTTCCTGTCACTCAAAAGCTATAAGAATGATGTTTTACAAAATTATATTTAATACAAATGTTGGTATACAGATTCCCCTTTCTATTGCCACTCCCTATTAAAGGAAATGACCAGTTATTTATTCAAGTTACTTTTTTCCCCAGTTACCCATACAGTGAGGACTCTAGTCAGGGAAAGCAGTATATGAACACAAGGTGTCCTTCATGGTGCGATCGCATCCTTTTGTCATACTCCGCAAAGGATCTTATTCACAAGGTGAGTGTTTAACCTCAATATATTTATTCCATGCTGTATACATAAAATAATACTTGCCTTTGATAAGTGCCTTTCATGTCTTCTCAAAGCACTTCACAGGATATTCTGCAAAGTGTTATGATTGTGTAATTTGTAGGTGAATGCGATGCATATAAGGGTTTTTTATTACAGTGGAGTTTTAATCACTGCATTGTTCTGTTAGAGAGAATGGCATTATTTCGGAAATCATCTAATCCGGCACTTAACTTGCAGGACTTGATCATCATCATTCTCAATTCAGCAATTTTGGTCATATTTGGTCAAATTGAAAACAAAACAAATTACATGTACAAAAAAAAATAATTTGATGAGGTAAAGATTGTGGCTCATTGCAAACAAAGAAATCTTTGCTGTCGGGAGAAGAGACAAAGATGTATTACTCGTTGAAGTTGGATTAATCCATATTTAAACCCTTGATTATACTCTGGTTTCAATTATGTGTGTGGGGGAGAACCTCCATTATAGCACATAATCGAGGCTCCACTCTACCGTTGCCAAGTCTGCCCAGCAACAAAACAAATGGAGGAAAATCATTTGGTAAGGTGTGTGGACAAATGATCAAGCCGTGGCATTATATTTGGCTAATGACTGAAAGTGCATATTTTTCTTTTCTCAATGATTAGTTCCTACTGCATTCTTTATTGGTTCCTTTTTACATTTCTTCCCTAATTCCTATCCCTCATCTAAGTTGTCCCAATACATCATCATTTTCAATGTTTGGTGCCAGACAATGGACTTGAAGTGTGGAATTCTGGCTGTCCAACCTAATTATCTTCAATGAGAATAAAAGAATGTACCACTGATATTGGGGGAAAAAAAGACAAGAAAACCCTAGGAAACTACAGGCTCGTGAGTCTGACATCTGTTGTAGGGAAGATATTGGGCAACCAAAATGATGAAATATTGAAACACCTGTAGAAATGTGGTGCCATTTTAAGAGGCATTCATCATGGCATGACACATAATTTAGAGTTTTTTGATTTAAAAAAAAATTAAGGGTATGAGCAACAGTCCTTTTTATTATTTACACTGGCACAGGCTACGTGGATGAAAATGATCTTTCCCAGGCCTTTAACAACTTGTTTCTGTTCTAAGACTGCTCTAGGCTTTGTCCAACTATGGAGCCTGGGAATTCAACTTCAATACTCTTTATTAAACTTTCGATATTGATTTGTATTAGACATCCATTCACAAAAAGGTCAGAGGGCTTGTGCACTTGGACGCTAATGTACTGCACCATGGATCATGTCAATGTTCTCCCCAATGATTCCCTGCACAGTGAGTTTAAAATTTGAGCTCAGTGCTCCTGGGGATGGAATGAGGAAAATCACAGAGCTTTTCTCACTCACAGACTGCAACTCTTTCCTTCCTCTTTGTTGGTGGTTTCCTCATGAATGTATAAGCGTGAAAATCTAAGCAGATTGATCACAACAGGAAATATCTAAAGATCAAATAAGTCTATAATATTTGGATTTGATTTTTTTTTAAAAACTAGGACCAATTGTTTCAATCCTAATTCTAATTAAATTCTAACACTTGTTATCAGCAGCATGCGTTTTAGTATGATTTTATTCAATTTGATTCAAAACACTTGTCTACAGAAAAAAATCATGACCAGTTCTAATCCACAGCAAGGAATCCATCTTGCTGGGTTTATTATGGGATACTTAAGCAGTCCATCTTGTGCTAGAGATCCCCCCCCATTTGCACTGTAGGCATGATCTACCTCATGGCAACACCAATGACTTGCATTTATATAGTGCCCCTCACACAGAGTAGGGTCCCAAAAACAAATTTGTACCTGGCTGTTATTTCTAGAATCATTTGATATTTCAACTTGATTTTCTAGTGATACACATCCTTTACTGTGTCCTCGAAGCCCTGGCCTGTACAAGTTTTAGCCCACCAATGGCCCGAAGGATATGGCAGCCAATACTATACTGGAGACGGTGGGAAGCAGTGTTTACATTTCTGTTTCTAGCACTTCTACCTCCAGAGGCAGAAACAAAAGCCACCATTGCACACAATAGTCCGTGTAACTGAAGGCAGTATCCTTGCCTCATTTACGTTTTAACGTGCCCACTAAAAGCAGTGAATGCAATACAATCATGGTATCTCTGATCCAATCCCCTCTCTCTCCCTTTTCCCCCTTCAGAATTTCCATATCCTCACTTCGTCAGGCAACTTCAGTCATAATTCTTTGGCACTGTCCTGCTTTTACCAAAACACTACCATCTATCTGACGCACAATCAGGTCACCAACGCATGCATGTGCATTAACTTAATCAGTGCCTCTATTGCCAAGTAACATAAACAGCTGTTCCATCCACAACTGTAGTATTAGAATTTTATAATGAATCCAGTAAGAATGGCTAAAGAATAAGCCAGATTGATTTTTAAAAAGTTTATTTACCTTAAGGTAAATCTTCAGAGTAATTCTTATTTCCTATTGAAGACGCATACAGACATCAATACATTGTTGTGTGTCCTCTCTGGCTTTTCTAAAAATATTGACATTGACATTGTGCTGCCGACTTTCCTTCACTCAGCAAGAAGAACCTTTCTAACCTGTCATGAGCCTTCATCACTCCAGAATAGCACTAGTGCATTGTCATGGATTCAGTGACGCACTGACATCCATTCAGTGCCCCTGCTCAGTTTTTTTTCTGGGAACATTAAATGGACAAGAATACTTAATGCCAGACTGAATTCTCAATTAACTCATTGAGTTATGGTTTCTGTCAAGGTTTAAAAAAACAAACTTCTTTTGTTGACTGTAAAACAGCACGGGGCAGATTTTGAACGTTGAATGCTGAGAAGTACAATTGAACTCGGTCCGTGCATTTTTATCAGTCTTTAAAGTGGAATCTTTCAACCTTGTAATATATTTGGATTTGGTAAAGTGCTAGTGTACTCTGAAGAATTTGCAGCAATTTGTCTTCCAAACCGTATTAGCGTTTGAAAGTTTGGACCATCTGAATTGTACTTCATTGTGTTCAAACAAGCAAGCATTGAGAAATGATGTAGATGTCAGGCTCATAATTTAATTTCCATAAAAATGACAAATGTGAGACACCACTAATCCGCTTTTGTATAGCTCAGCTAATTTATTTCTACTTTTCTTTTTTTTAGCTGGTAGAACTTTGTTGCCTTTAACTTGTTCTATCTTTTTCTTATAATATAATAATCCTTGCATTTGATAGAGCACCCTATCACATTTTCTAGATGTCTCAACGCGCTTCATGGGATATACTGTAAAGTGAATTGACTGCATGTTTTGTGAGAGAAACATACAGTCGAACTTGTCAGTGTTGAATTGGTCCTGTAGTCCTCTTATACCCCTGACCATCCTGGTAAAAAGCAAAGCAGAGAAAAGGCAAACCATAAAATACTCTTTGAATTGTAATTTGGTTTTATTATTTTTTCACATTAATTTTTATTGCCTCTGGTGATTGTCTGGCTACTTAACGCAAGCTAGATAGAGAGCTCACTGCAATTCAGTTTGTGTACTGGGATAGGGAGATAGAGGCCTAGCTAATGTGTGAATCGTTTCACATTAGCAAACGGCATGTTGAACACAATGCACCAGCCGTTACAGATTGTACAGACATGGAGCTGTAAACAACCACTATGCAACATCATCTATCATGCCATGGTCCGTTACCTCACCATCATGTTATTTTATGCTTCCTGAGCCCTAACATACCAAAGGTTGGCCACTGTTATGGAGCTGCATATCTGCTTGATAGCATGTGATAATGAATGCTCAGTGAAGTGTAGTTTTGTTTCTGCTTGTGTGCTGCTGTAATTTGTTTATCTGTCTCAAGATTATGTATCTGAAAATCTACAATTTTATGCTGCTTTTGAAAATTATCATTTTGAATTTGATGAATGCACTTGAACTTCCGGGTATGACTGCATGATGATCTTGGAATATTGGAGAGTGTCCATGCATAAATATAAAAGGTTACATTTTTGATTGTAGGCAACAGTGCTTTAAAATAATGTGTCTGACCTTAAAGCAGCTCATTGCATTTAAAGCTAATTAGAAGGTTGTTGATTTGTTGTGTTTTATGGGTGCCTTTACGTAATTTTCTAAAGTGTCCCATTAACTGTACATCACAAGCATGAAATAAGAGTGTTTTTGACAAATGTTTTCACAACGCTGGATCATTTTGAAGCAGTTTCTCCAGTCAAATTCTCTCCTCAATGCCTCATGCTGTTTAACACAATATTTTCTGTGTTTCCCAGTGGGGTGAGTCAAGAGCAGGAAACTCTTCCCTATGATTGCAGCTAGACATTGTTATTTTGTGCTCAGCTTGGTGTAGGTAGAGAATTAGATGAAATGCCAATTATTTTTCAAAAAGAGTAATTGTCAAATAGAAGTTGATTATGAGGCGTTATTGTTGGTTCCGAATTTTCACAATTTAAATGAGTGTTAAAACAATTCTTCTTAAGGTGAATTTGATAAAGACAAGTATTGTAAAAAAAAAGGGGGTGGGCAGCTGGATCTGCTCTGAAGGCTGCGGGTTATAGACCATGAGAACAAACAATAAATCACTGCTGCACAATGGACCTGGGTCCAAATTTGAACATCTAGAGTAGAATCATAGAATGTTTACAGCACAGAAGGGGGCCATTCAGCCCTTCGTGTCTGTGCTGGTGGTTATCTCCCTATTAAAGCTATGTCAATTCCCTGCTCTTTGTCCACATCCTTTTATGCTAGTTTTTTTTTCTGAAGTATTTATCCAATTCCCTTTTGAATTCTGCTGTGGACTCAGCTTTGACATTACTTTGGGGTGAGGTATTAATAATAATGATAATCCTTGCATTTGATATTGTGCCTTATCACACACTTCACAGGATATATTGTAAAGTGGGTTGACTGTGTATTTTTGGGGCGAAAAGTGGTAGCCAGTTTGCTCACAACAATGTCCTTAAAAAAAAGTCGTGAGTGAGTGACCAATTTTATTTGGGGGATTTGTTGGCCTGGGAGAAACTTCCTTTGCTTTTTGAATTCTACTGTGGGATCTTTCACGAGCACCCGAACTGACAGACGGGACCTTGGTTTTAATGTTTCATCCGAAGAACGGCAACTGCAACAATGCAAAACATCTTCAGCACTGCAATGACGATGTGAATCCAGTCCCAATGTGGGGCTTGAACCCACAACCTTCTGACTCGGAGTCGAGTGTGCTACCACTGCGTCAGGCTGACACACAAGTTTAACAACAAAATACAACAAAATTACATTGTAAAGAGCCTTTCACGTCGGGAGCATGTCCCAAGGTGCTGAACAACTTTCTGTGTTGAACAACATTCTCACTACCCCTCTTTTTCTTCTGCTGATAATCTTCAATCTTCAATTATGTCCCCTTGTTACTGATGCCGATCAAAAATTTGGCTCTTGATTTACCTTATCAATACCATTCAGAATTTTGAAAAGCTCCTTTTGGTCCCCCTTTAACTTGCTCTGTTGTAGTAAAAAAAAGTCCCAACGTTTAAAAGCTTTTCACCTATCAGTAAACATCTCATGTCTAGTTATCAGCCTTGTTCTATTTCCTACTGGAAGTTTCATTTGGGTGTTCCATATGCACATGTTTGTTATATTGTACGATTTTGCTTTCTACATATTTACACAGTTCAAGCATTGTCGAATGTCACAATATGTTCTTAATTTGTTTCAAACACTGGTTTGTTTCACGTCCCACTCCCGCTTCGGTGAATCATCATGGATGTGTCTTCAGCCAGTCTTCCTTGTACCACTCCCATCCCACCCCCACCTTCAAAACTTGCTTCAAGGCCTAACTCTTAGTCTGTGCAAAATTCCCCTTCCAACCCAGGGGAAAGCTGTATTTTCAAACAAGAACAAGATTACCTTTGTATATATCGCGCCTTTCACGTCGGGAGGACATCCCCCCAAACTGTCACATTATTGGAGAAGAATCACTGCTGCCAAGGCCAAATATTGACAGAGATATAACTAAGAATAATATAAAAAAGTTTGTGCTGAATTTACTTCAGAAATATTATGCTGAATATTGATGCTCACTAGTGTTGTCAGTTTTCCACCGTTGATGTACAGTAATGGAGTAATAATTGTTTCTATCCAGAGATTTTGATTTTATTGATAGAATGTTATTTTATCCGTTATCTTTTCAAAGATAAGCATGTTGGGCGTTTCCATCTTAAATAGCAGGATGTGAATTTCATAAAATTGGATATAATACAAGCAGAACTAACATCATCATGTTACAATGTTAACTTGTAAAAGTAGGCGGTATTTTTCCAAAAATTACATGAATTTTGCAAGACTAAACATTCTTCCCATTCTCTTTGACCGTACCTTCAGCTCCCCTCTCGACTCTCTACCCCCTCCTCGCTCCCTCCCTTCCCCCTGACCATTTCCCCCTTGCTCGGGTCCTGACCCAACTGTACAGCGCCTTGGGACGTGAAAGGCGCTCTATAAATGAAATTTGTTGTTGTTGTATTTCTGCTCTTGAGTTCTGTGTATGAGACAATATGACATAGATAGCATAGAACACGTTCCCTCTATAGTTCTTCCCATTTGACGGCTAAAATAGTGGGGGAACTGTCACATTATTCGAGCAGAATCACTGCTGCCGAGGCCAAATATTGACAGAGATATTACTAAGAATAATATAAAAAAAACCTGTGCTGAATTTACTTCAAAAATATTATGCTGAATATTGATGCACACTAGTGTTGTCAGTTTTCCACTGTTGATGTACAGTAATAGAGTAATAATTGTTTCTATCCAGAGATTTTGATTTTATTGATAGAATGTTATTTTATCCGACGTGTAGGAGGATTAGTTTATTCATTCTCACTGATATTATTGGTATTCAGGTGAATGCAATAAACTATGAGGTGGGAAAGAAGAGTAAATATTTATTAGCTAGATGCACACATTTTAATATAACTGGGATCACTACAAGATTTCAGCCTGGCTTAGTTGGTAGCACTCCCATCTCTCAGTCAGAAGCTTGTGGATTTGAATTTTAGCATTCTAGTGCAATGCTGGGGGAGTGCCTCATTGTCAGAAATCATGTCCTTTGGATGAGATGTTAAACCAAGGTCCTGTTTGGCTGTTTGGGTGGACATTAAAGATCTCATAAGCCTATTCTAACACACAAGGGAGTCTTGCCTGGTGTCCTGGTCAACATTCTATGCAATAAAATTGGTCATTCTCTTCGTGGCTATTTGTGACATTTTGCTGTGCACAAATTGACTGCCACATTTCTCTACTCTACACTTCACAGTAAAATACTTCTCTTTGAGAAGTCTTCCCAATGTGAAAGGTGCTATATCAAATCCAATGATTATTTTCAGTAATACTAAAAAAATTTTTTTGTTCAACTTAGATCACTTCAATTACTAGAAATTAATAGAATTTAAAACAATGCTATGTCGAAAATAGAATCCCAAGTTTTAATGTTGCACAATAATACATTGATACAATGCCTTTCAAATTGGGAGAATATCTCAAAGAACTCCACAGGATTTTGCTGTGAAGTGTAGTGACTGTATATTTTGCAGGGATTGAATAAGCAATGAATAAGCTACGGCAGAAGTTAGAGCAAGGAAAACATTACAGGGAGTCCTGTAGTGGAGTGGTTAACACACTCGCCTCTCAAGCGAGAGGACCTGGGTTTGATCCCCGGGCAAGGCGAAACGTTAGGAAAGGTACTCCACGCGCCTCTGTTTACCTCCGGTTGTTAGTCGGTTGGCGGATCACTTTTCCGGAGGTAACAGTCCCTTCAAAAATAAATATAAATAACTTAATAATTTGGTCACTCAATCCATGAATGTTTGTGGGATACTGCTGTGCGCAATTGGATGCCACGTTTCGCCCACAAAATATACAGTCAATTCACTTTACAGTATATACTCAAAAATGTGATTGGGCGCTATGTTATTATTATTGTTATTAATCTTAAACATTCCTGTGTAAAATTGATGCTCTGAAGGTTACCCCAGTTTAGGGATGAGGGCATTTTTTTCAACGTAGTGATTTAGACCCAAGTGTACAAATGCTGCAGCAAATTGCATGTAGTTTGTGACATTCTGAAGAGATCGACATAAAGGTTGGCCTTCCATCTCCTCTTGTTTGTTGAAACTCTTGTAGATTGCTTTCTCACTGGCTCTAAATATTTGTCTTTGCAGCTGAGCAATTGTGAAAAGAACTTTATGTGAATAGCCACTCTGTCTCTAAAGAAAGTGATCTCTGTTTTACAGGCAGAAAATGATGAGAAGTCAGTTATCTATGACAACATGGGACCAAATGTTTGCATGGGGGACCACAAGGTAAAGAGTACTTTGTTGTTAAATTCAACAGTTTTTTGAATGCAATGAATGCTATTGTCTCTTTTACTGGTAACATTACTGTATGGCATGTGGCATAAACTATTTTGGTTTTATCCATGATTTGTTCTCAAAAGATATACACCTAAAGAATTCAAGGTGTTGTTTATTTATGTGTTTTTCACTGAATAACTATTGAACTAAATTGAAATGATTACTTGGAAGGAACACAGTGCATGGAAACCCAGTGGTAGGGTTCTTCAATAAGTCACTGCCTTATTTAGAGTGTACCAATATTTGAGATATTTATAGTAAAGCATTTTACATAAATTGATCTTTATAGTTGTGTGTGTAATGTTAAAATAAAACGCTTATACCCAACTCCAGCATTTTTTTTTAGTATTTAGTGTTTATATTATTTTTATAAATATGTGCCACCTGACTCACACATTGGGTCTCACACTGCATGAAAGTGAGGTGTTACATTTGAAAGACTGGAGAAACTGGCATTTATAGCTCAATTATTGAGCAGTGTCATCTGCCCACATGGTAATTGATGGCTTACATAGCGAAGTCTGTAGCCACATCATTTTGCTTTCCTGCGTAGAACTAATGCACTGGTAGTGAGCAGCCACAAGGGGGGAAAATAGGAACAAGTGAGAAAAACATCTTTAAGAAGTGTGCTAACTGCTCAACCAAATGGGTTTACATCTCCAAATATCAATAAATATATAATTGCCAACACATTTATGTCAATACATGTTTGCTCGATACTGTTATAGTAGTTATAAATGTGCAACATTTAATTTATACATCATGGACAGAACTTCTAATTTCCCGTTAACAAGATATGATGAACTACATAACTGAAATGTTCATGTAAGAACAACATCCGGACTTTCTCCTTACTGCTGTATTGTACATTTTGAAATGACGAGCATTTTAAACCATCATACAGGTTTGTTTGAATTGATAAGGAAGTAGTGTAAGTAAAAGATGATCAGAATAGATCTTCTATTTTAATAGTTTTCACTGACCCAGCAATGTGTTTTATTTTTGTGCAGCCTGTCTTCCTGTTCTTTCGAATAGCTGCTGGGGCAGGTAAACCTAATGCAAATATGCGCAACTGTTGTGTGGTGCAGTGATGTGGTGGTAAATATTAATGTTTTCTTTTCTTTTACTATTCATCCATGTTCTTTTCAGTATTCAATTGACAAATTAACACTCTTATATTTTTGTCAGTTTCATCACCTAACGTGCTATGTTGAATGATTTTTTTTGTGACTTTCACAGGTAAACGATGTCAAAAAAATGAGAAGATCTTTCGAGAACCTACCCTCTAGTCCATTTGCAGCAAGCAAACGAGAGGTGCAGGAGCAGGGCAGGAGAACTTGCAAACATCCTTGTAATTCAACTGATGTTGATACTGTATTTCTTAGTGCTGCATTTCAGACTGCTCATCAACCATTCTGCTTTGATGTCTGAAGTCTATACAAGACAGCCATCTATACAAGACAGCCACACATACCTCACCATTTCATATGTTCCTGTGACACTTGAATTAAATGTGGGACAATATTAAAACGTGTCACAGTTTTGTTGCCAAACGCTAAGAGTAGAATATACTACACATTTTAAATATCTCACATTTATAATTTTAACTGATACAGTATCCCTCTTCAATGTAAGAAGTTGTTTCCTTATGTAAAACTCATGAAGTGCAATGCTGAAATTGTATATCTATACTGTACTAGAGAGTTTTTTGTACATTGGATTGTATAGGTAGTGAAATTTCACTTTTAGTGATGGTTTTATTGATATTTTCTTTACTTTTAAGATTTTTATTGTATGTCTGTGTTAGGCTAGCTAGGTATTTTCATGTCACATACTACATACTGCCACATTTTATCTGATTTCGAATCACAAATTAGCTGCTCTCTTCATTTTTATATCTACTTAAAACAAACTAATTTATAATGTAATCTTTCCAAAGCCCCTAAATGAAATTCCTTTCTGAAGGACTGGCTGCTCATGGTCTGACATATCAACTATTAGTTCCTATGCCTAGCTGATTGAATATATAAAACTATATCTTTTCTCACCCAAACTATACTATAGATAGCTTTGACAGTGCCATTATTGATGAAATATCTAATTTACTATAACCACCACGCGTGAATAGCAGTCTGTCTGTGTTAAGTACTTCTATTGTAACTTATTCCTATGTGATGCCAAGTTTCAGAATGTGAAGTTTAATAGGATGGATATCTTATAAGATTTTTTTGTAAACTATTTCTGTCTATTTTTGTTACTGCATACAGTGCCAAGTATCTATGGACACAACATAATGGGAAATCTTTCCTTCTGTTATTAGCTTGCTAATTGTGCTTTAATGGATTGTATATAAAGCCCTCAAACCTGAAGATGCAAATTGCAAATTCGGTAAAATTGTACCACCTATATTTAATCTCCAGCGAGCGCTAATGTTGCAAATTTTACACGCTGCTTCTTACAGCATTAAAAGGTGATTAGGTCTGAAGATGGAGAACACAGCCAATGCCTAAACGTTTCCTCTATCGATTTAATTTAGTACACTACAAAGTTCACAAGCTACTTGATAGCAGTGGATTGATGCGTGTTTTCGTATAAATCACTACGGTTGGAAATGATTTTGTGTCTGCCAGCAGAATTTATGTGGCCGTGACCGTGAGATCATTCTCGTTTGTAGACAATAAAGAGTAAAACGCCAGTATGCAGATAAACTGTACCAATGTGCCCAGTATCAATAGCCGTACACTGTAAACTATTTTATTAAATCAGAGATTCAACTTATGTGACGTTAATGGGCCATAGAAATAAACTTCTTTGTTTCTCAAACAATTTCGAGCGATTCGAGCAATCTTTCCCTACGTGTGTGTGTGTGTGTGGTGCGTTGTGTGTGTGTGTGTCTGATCGCACTTTGAAAACTCTTAAAGTTTCAGTCGAAAACTTTTTTTTTAAAAAAAGAATATTTTACCTTAGACATTGGTAACACCGCATGGCGACCAGAGGACCTGCAGCTCCACTCACACACTCGCCATCACTGATGTGCGGTGTTTCATAAAATAAGTTTTATGGCAAAGTCGAGAAATCACTCAAACTCCACCATTCTCCATCCAGAAACTCTGCTCCAACACATGACTGACTGCCCAGAGAGCTGCCCAGAGTCCAGGGTCTGGTGATTGTAGTGTTTAATTCTTGCTAAGGGTTCAAAATTGAATTGTTTGGATTAATAAGTTTGTGTGTGTGGGGGGGGGGGGGGGGGGGGGTGGGGTGGTGGGGGCTGTAATAAGCTGTAATTTTACAATCAACATTATTACCAAAAATACCCCCAAATGAGCTTTTTGCCCTCCACATCCGATTGATTATCTGCAGAGCGGGTTATTACTGATTTTACACCCGAAAGGACGGTGTTTTAGTAAAATACACCGCGTGAAATGATCTGTGGTCGTTGAAGAGTAATTTGTTTTCTTGTGTGAATCGCAGCAGAAGTTGAAACCCTGAGCTTTGCTCAGTCGTCGCTGTTTCAAGTGAAGATCGTTGCCTTTCGGTGGGATCCCACCAAATGGCTCATTTATCTTTCTTCAAAATCTCGAAGGAAATGTAAGGCGAGACGGAGATCCCTTTTTAATTCAATTGAAACACAACCCTGAACGCAGGATGAAGGAATAAAACTCGCCATCGCCCTTTTAAATGCGCTTCATCTCAATAGGCGTTGGTCAATGCCACTTGGAAGTGGAGACGCGGAGAAGGGTTCCCTGTGAAAGGTCGGTGCAACACGTTGGCGACACGTTGAGTTGCAGCTTTATATAACCACAGGGCCAGTGGGTAATGTTCTGCTCTCACGAGTTGGTTTCAGGAGAGATACGCACAATCAGTAGCTGCGTCTTTCTTTGCATTTGCTGCAATTGGCATTAACGCAGTCAGTGCACCAGCAGCTGAATTGCTGATATTGAGTCATTACAAACTATAACAGGTCCAGGCGCACATCCCCTCCCTCACTCCCTCCCTCGTCGAAATGTTCTTTGCTGATGTGCTTTTTGCACGATATGTCTGTCCTCTTACAGTTTCGAGTCCAGCCAAAGCTCCATTCGGTGCCTTCGTTTCTTTTCACGAGGTGGTTTTGCTCATTTTCTGGATGATTTCCTTTGCTTTGTGTGTGTGGGTGTGTGTGTTACCTTAAATCATGGCCATAATCTAATCAGACCGCCTGATACTTCTGTTATTTTATCGGAATATACGATATTTCCATTGTATCCACAAAACGTGGTAGGAAGTGCTTGGAGACTGTTTTGTAACTTTTTTTTAAAAAAAAAGTTTGCCCACCGGCTGGTTTATTATTTTCTATTCCAACAAATGCTTCATTGAAACCGCCTGCACTTCGACATTGTTAGCAGTATAAATTAATAATATTTTGCTCCAGTGATTAATTGATTGCAATCAGAAACAATTTACGGATCTGCTCGTTATTTGTCGAGATGAAAAGATATATCCCTCATCAACAGTTAACAAGGCCCATCATTTACTCTCAAATCATTCGAAATGTCACAGGATACATTTCGTGGGTATCCGCCTCTGTTACTCCATTTAAATATAAAATCCCTGTAATTCTTTTTTATAAAAAAATAATCATTGGAAAAACACAAAATTAACTAATTTCTAATGTATTCATTCATACAAGTCTAACTCATTTGGTAATCTTGATTTTTTTCTCTCTCTTAGATTTATTTGTACAATTATACAATTGTCTAATTATCCTCAGATCCCAGTACAGACATGCGAGGGGTTGTCTTGCGAGTGCATTGAACCTTTAAACCATACGATAACAAACTGTCCGTATTCCCACTTTGTATCTTCCTAAATTATTTCTCATTGACTACTTACAGTCTAAATCGTTTTGCGTTTAACAACAACACAGAACCGCCCTGAACATCACATTTTGAAATTTATTTGTAAGCCTAATTTAGCATATCTAAATTATCATTTAAAAAATATACGATTGCACACTTATTGGAACTGCTAATGTGTCACTGAATCTTCTCGTCATTGAGGTACTGTTTAAAAAGTAGGTTTTCAACCAGTCGATGGCTCCACACGTTGTGAATTCACACACTCTGCGATTTGCGTTCGCCTTCAAAACAATTCCGTGAAGTTTTCGCTGCAATCGGTGATTATCACAATTCATTTCCAATTGGGAATGACGAGTCGAAACTGCCTTTATCCTTCAGCCCTATTGAACATCCTCCACTTAAACGGGTTTGTTTCAGTTTTACGTGCTACACGTCGCAACAAGTGCTCTATAAAACCAGGTTTATCAATGCAGTTTAATGTATCATTAATATCCCAATTTAGATTAACTTAATATGAAGGTAAAACCACGTTCAGGTGTGGATTGCTTGGAGTTTTATAATGATTTGATTGGCATCTTTAAATACAGTATACTTTCATTTTATTGCAGTGACCAGTTTATTGTCCAACTGCTGTAAATTACTGTCGGTATTTGTGGGCTGAGATTGTTGATAAAAGATATAATCTTTAACAGATGAATCGGAGTATTACTGACCTGGTGTAATCGCTCTTCAAAATATGGGTACAAAAACTTGCCCGAATCTAGATTTCATATTGTTAAATAATTTATTGGTAATACAAAGGTTTTCCAATTATTGTGGACGCAATCATATTTCCTTTAAACCATCTTCATCAAAATGTCCAGAGATTCTTTGGGGTTCATTGGCGCTGAACTCAAAACCCCCTCGAAAGGAATTTACCGTCATCACGGGAGGGGGGGGGGGGGGGGAGGAAGGGGAAATAATAGTCTTTTTTCTGAGTGCAAATACACCAAAAAAAACACTTTACGTTTAAAAATCTTACAACACAAACGTGCATCTTAATATGTACAAACAGTTACAGTTTTAATCCGCAATTTATACAAAAAGGATGAAATCTGATTCTTATTCCTTAGTTTATAACACTGAAAATCCTAAAGAAAAACTGGATTGTGGAAACTGAGTGCGAACGACCTGCTCGTTCAGAAACGTTTCCTCTTCTGCGTCAGGTTCAACCCAAGTTATTTATACTGTATAATCGAGCTGTAAGATAATTCCATAACTTATTCTGTAAAAAATATATACATCTCACATACATTCGGCTGTACAACACATATCACTTATTTCTGTGGAACATCGAGTTATTTTTTTTTAAATGTTTATACCCTGGTTAATTCAGCCATTGAAGCTCAGAATAATAATTATAATAATAATAATAATATTAATATTAAAGAAAAAAGTTTGTCACAAAACGTCCGGGTTGTTACTGTGTGGGTCCAGGATGCTGAGGGAGTTGGTGGATTTGTGCTTTTTCAGTAATCGTGTGATTTTCTCGTCGTCTGAATTTGGGTCCAAAGGTCTGTTATATTCATCCTCGTCCTCCTCGTTTTCCGACGTTTCCTTCAGTTTTTCAGTCTCTGAATCGTGCTTTTTCTTGGCTGTGGCCATTTCAGCCGCGTGTTTCTTCCTCCATTTGGTCCTTCTGTTCTGAAACCACACCTGTTGCAAAAACAAAATGCATCGGAAAAGTAAGCAAAATAAATACGTCCGTCCTGTAATTAACGTGGCAATTTTAAGCGCACGAAATGAAACAACACTGCCTCCAACAAAAAAAAACAGTCTGGTTTCACACTGTTGTGATGAAAAATAAGTGGCTTCAAATAAAACTGGGTTCGTGTTTGTCACTCTTTCTCTCTCTCTCTCTCTCTCGGATGTTATAGATGGAAAAAGTGAACCAAACGATTCCTTGTGGGACTTATTTTACCTCATAGTGTCTCAAAGGCCTTGTACCATGTAAATACTATCCGAAATATGAATTGCAATATCTTTCAGGTAGCAAATTGAGGATATATAATAATAATAATCATTGAATTTGATAGAAGCGCCTTCAAGACGTCTCACATCTCTTCTTTAAGGGAAAACATTTCAAAGGGATTCGTTATATACTCTTTAAGGAAGAACATTTCCCACACTCACAGCAAAGGAGGAAATCTCACCAGTCTACCTTGGAAGCACTTTTACGTATGGGGCAAAACAGCAAATGATATACAATGAGCAACTGCACCAAAAGTGTTAGATAGGAATTTAATATGTCTGGCACTTGATGAGGAATTTGCATAAACACAAATATAACCCGTGTTAACTGGGCAGAGGAATGCAAATCCAATGAAATAAACATTGCTAAAATCAAAATAGGTGTAACATTCAGCTCTGCCACAACTTTCTACCGCAACAGAAAATTGGACTGGTTCTGTCTTTGACTTATGTTGTTGCAGAACAGTGTGGCGTTACTTGAGCGGCAAAAACGCGAGACAAAAGTAATATTATTCGAAATCCTGCCCCAGCAAAAAAAAACACACACGCAATTGGGTTCAAGTTCCATGAACTTTGGTCAGAAACGTTTGCACCAACGTTGACCAGGAAAAAAAAGAACAAATTCTAAATGTTCAGCATTGCCACATTGCCAAAGGACACTGTGGTGGTAACACATCAGCGAAACGGCAGCGACTGCTGCTCACTTTCCTGCTGGTAAAATAGATTTGATAACAAATCGGCCTATTCATGTTGGTCGCTTCTTGTCAATGCAGTGAAAAGAGTTTACCTTAACTTGACTTTCTGTCATTCCAAGAGAATAGGCTAAACGAGCTCTCTCCGGACCCGCTAAATATTTGGTCTGTTCAAACGTTTTTTCCAGAGCAAAGATCTGTTGCCCTGAAAACGTTGGCCTGGAATGTTTCTTCTTTCCGTCCTTATCAATGACTAAACTTCCTTGTGCTGCAAGAGGGGAAACCGACAAAAAAAAAAGGAGCTTAATACTGTACCAGAAATACGGCGTGGAGTAATTGCAACGATTACACAAACTTCATTTCCATCAACTAACTTACATGTATTTGTTTTTTTTTTAGAATAGAATAACACATTAAAACCGAGAACTTAAGTAAAAAAAAAATTTTTTTGTTTGTTTAAAAATAACCCTATACAAAATAGATACTGCACACAAAACTGGACCAGACAGAGATGGACATGTCCCAGTTGAAGACAATAAAATGATTTGTTCTGTGCGTTATTTATTTTTTTAGCCACGAAGATAGAATGATCAAAAGGAGACAGTACGATAACTAAAGCCAGAAAAGCTGCTTCGCTGTGGACATGTCACACACACACACACACACACACACAGGTCGGGGACACACGGTTACTTTAGTTTACTTTAGATAATTGCAACACAGCGCTTGATTTTAACACCGCGACATCGAGAGCCAACGTTAGTACCGAACACACACACACACACACACACACACGCACGGAGGGGGGGTGGGGGGTGTGGGTGTGTGGTGGGGGTGTAGAGAAAAAATGCCAAAAAACAAAAACTCACGAGTTATTTGATTTAGTAAAAATAACAAGGTGGTCGGACAGCACGTACTTGGACAGGCGAGCCTGGGGTCCCTCCACGGGGAGCCCTGCATCATCCCCGGCCAGAAGATGGGCGGTCTGCCCGGCAGCTCTGCGAGGGGTTTGGGGTACCTGGAGGCGGCTGCCGCGGCGGCGGCGGCGGCGGCTGTCGGGTTAAAATACATCCCCGCCGAGGTGGCAAGTCCGTTGAGCCGAGGGAGTCCGGAGAGCAGGTTGCCCGCCGTGATGGGGCGGCCCAGGATGTCGCTGATCCCGTGCGGGGTCCCCAGTGGGATCTGCCCGTTCAGGCTGCCCAGAGACGGGGCTTTGAAGGTCGCGGGGTTCTGCAGGGAGTACGGGAATATGGAGGTCTTCATTTCGGTCATGTTGTGCAGCGCGGCCAGCGGTGTGCTGCTCAGGACGAATGCACTCTGGCGATTAGAATCCATCTGCCCGACGGCTAACATTTGATCTGCTCATAGATTTGACGAGAGCCGCCGGTAAATGCCGAGAGAGAGAGAGAGAGAGAGAGGGAGAGAGAGAGAGAGAGAGAGAGGGGGGGAGAGAGAGTGGGAGAGAGAGAGAGACACACCGACGACACCGCGTTGGCTGAAATGCAATCGCAAACAGCGGGATCTCGGAAACCCACTTTGCCAATCGGTAAAGTACAGTCACAAGTCACACGCAGTGATCGGTAGGATTTCTGTTCTCGCTGCTGTTAGGGGGCTTTTTGTTGTTGTTGTTGCTGCTGCTGCTGTTGTTGTTGTTGTTGTTGTTTGCGGTTGTGTTCCGGGTTTTTTTTTCTCTCTCTCTCTCTCTCTCTCTCTCTCCCCCACCCCCGGTTAAGAGCCGTATCCAAGTTTTCTCCCCCAAAAGAAGTCTCTAGGAAGCACCAACCACTCCCCCCCCCCCCACCCACCACCACCACCACCAAAAAAAAAACGTTGTGCCGCCAGTAGCTGTTGAGTCAATCTGTGTGTGTGTCTGTGTGTGTGTGTGTGTGTGTATATATGTGTGTATGTGCGCGTCTGCACACTTTCCCCCCCTGGTTTAAGGTGAAATTGAGTGGGTTCGATCGCTGGGGCGCGGGAGATGTGCTGATAAGCTCCAGCAGCACCTGTCACTCTCACATCCCCATTGGCCACCAGTCACCGCGGACACTGTGCCATTGGATGATCGACGCGGGAGACTTGGCCCCGGCTTTGAGGTGCGTCACTTTTGCAAGTGATTTCCCCCCCCCATCACCACCCAACCCCCCCCACTCCACCACCCACCCACCCCTCCATCACCCATCACCCCCCCCCCCCCTCCACACCCATCACCCCCCACCCATCAAACCAAACATTTACCAACCCAACCCGAGGGCACTTGTGTCTAAAGAGAAGATGCTTCAGATGCTTTCACTTTTTTTAATGTATCCTATATATGCATCTCTCTCTCTCTCTCTATCTCTCTATCTCTCTATCTCTATCTCTGTATCTCTCTCTCTCTCTCTCTTTCTCTCTCTTTCTATCTCCCTCTTTCTCTCTATAAAATGTACAATTTAATTGTCTAAAAGCTTTGTTCAGGAAAGGAAGACACATTTTTTGTTCTTGCCTTCTCCCCCCTCTCTCTCCCCCCACCCCGCACCCCCATTCATCTCATCTCATCTCATCTCACCCCCACTCCACCCCCCCCCCACAACCCCTCCCATCTCCATAATTTATCCAAATCCACGATTTCTTTGATACGAGTACTTGCGAGTAATTAGGCGTTTTTGCAAACGAAAAATAATGAATCGAAGCTAAAAGACATCAAACAAGTCACCAGAATTTCAAAGATCTACCTTTTTGTTTCTAAAATTGCGCTTTAATCCCAGAAATAGGCGGTGGGAGATAAAGAATATATATATATGTAATAAAGCATATTTTTTTTAAATTTGGTGACACTGTCCTATAGAAACGAATCCAATGGTAGGATTCCTGGCAGATATATATAAAAAAAAGCAATTGTAACGAAAGCAATTATTCTTAAAAGTTGTTTTAAAGTCAAAGGCTGGACGCACAGTTAAGAAGTTAAGATTCTTAAAAAATATTTACTTGCTAACTTACTTTAGCATCCTGGACTTGCTAAAGTGGAAATCAACTTTTAGCTTAGGGCTAAATGGAACCGATAAGTAAATGTTGTTTGCATTTAATCTTAGGTTAAAATTATGGGCAGAACATTTTGCTATTTTGGGGGGGATTCTGACTATCCAGTCTGCTTTTTTAAAAAAAAATACATAGTTTGAAATTAAACCTGGTCAATATATTGTGGAAGAAAGGTCTTAACGTGCTCTGTGCTTTTCAGGAGAGAAGATGAGTTGTGCATGGGCGGTTAAAATGTGAGTGAAATTTGATTCCCTGATTTCTCAATGTAAAGTTGCTGGTTGTAGGTTTAAATACTGATGCCGAATGACAGTATTTCTCACGACCGGTCCTGTAGTATCCACAAGTTTCTCTACAGATATTGATATTTATTTGTAAATATTTATTTGATGCAACAATTCAATTAGCAAACGTATGCTACAGGTAGTTATTTCAATTTCCATTCGCAGTTGTTCGGATTTATTTATTGGTTTAAATGAAACTCGGTCCACGAATTTAGCATTAAAATAACCAAACCAGTGAAATTGATGCGTTAAAAAAAATTGAATTACTGCATCGTCTGTAGATACTCTATGTGCTTCTTAAAAAGTGAACAAAATGTGTATACCATTTCAGAATATTTTAACAAAATTACGAATAATATGCAAACAGTTATATTTCACACCAAGTTTACTTATGAAGCCCTTTTCTTTTCGTTTAATTTCTTTTCGCCGTGTGTTTTTCTTTGAAGAAGAATTTACAGTACATGTTACAGAAGAATGGTTTAACAGCTTAATGATCATAGATTTGTTCATCATTCGAGTCGGTATAACATATCACATATCTATGCAGCGGGTTACAAGTGTGTGCTACACAAGGTGTCTGTCTGAAACATTCCTAATTCAATGTTAAAACAAAACGACCCTTTCGCGTGTTTATTATTCGCTCCACTTCATCGATGTTTCCATTCGATAAGTGAATACGTTTTTTTTAAAGTGTAACAGAACGCTTCAACTCTATGGGCTTCAGATCTACAGTGGTTTTAAACAAATACAACCATTGAGGTCAACAGCTGTAAAATGCCATCTGACTGTAACAGATGAGTGCACAGCAGCGCACACTCAGAAGCCAAGTTGCACAAAAGGTGACATGTATGCACAATGTTATACAAGATGCAGATATGTGATCGGTTTTGATACGTCTCAAATAGCTATCCCTTGATCGATCTACCATTGTTTTCCCAAGTCGAGTCAATGATATTAAGAATATGAGTTGGGAACAACTCCGAGGAAGAATTAGTGAGACCTCTAGTGAGCAGACCAAGTCACAACAGAAACACGTTCAAAATCAAACTGATGGCGCAAATATATATATATATATATATATATATATATATATCAAGTCGTGTTGACTGGGAATTTCAGATCACCTACACCACTTTCACCTAAATACAAAATTACTCCCGGAGTTAGAAAAGGAAGAGCTTATTTAGTGACAAATCAAAGCAGCCAAGTAACGTGTACACTAGTGGTACCTGAGTTACAAATCCTATGCAGTTCCCAGCAATGTTTGTGGATTCAGTAGCACAGTCGGGACCAGGCATCAATTCTATATGAACTATTGAAAACATATAATGAGATGATAGATACAGTTTGATGCTGCTGAACTGGGGCAAAGTTATCAGGGATATTTAATTGGGGGGAACATTTCCTCCACACCTATTGACGTTCAAAGCATTTAAATTAGTACGAAGTAATTTTACTTAACGAGGACGATCTCAGAAGCTATATTACTAAAGTGCTATAACATCGGCCCATTTTTCCGCGGTGTTTCTCTGGCTATAAACTACTTGAGGTTGGGTGAAGGTGATAACTTTCAGCTCAACATTTTCGCTGAAGAAACTTTTTGTTCAGTTCCTTTCATCTTCAATGCAGTTCCTGCAACATTTTCAAGACTATGCTGACTATAAAATAGATAATCAAGTAGCATAACCCTTAAATCCTCCTTCGATGTCACTGCAGTTTACAGTATATCATGTGAAATGCCTTGGGACGTGTTCCCCACGCGAAAGCGCAATACCAAATGTAAGGACTTGTATTATTATTATTATTAGTTTTTAATATTTTTTCAACTGGGGTTATTTCATTTATTCCTTACGAGGAAGAATTATTGATAGATTTAACACATGCAACCAAACAATAGGATTTTATTTCGCAGGATTTTCATTGCTACCAAAGCAATGATAGACTGCTTACGTGATTTGCAAGTTATTTGACGAAAATAATAATAATAATACGCTCTTTCGAAAGGGTTAATTCGGGCAGTTTCAAATTCACACACTCCCCATATTTAGTGCAATTTTCCTGAAAATACGTGTGGCGATGTATGGATGGACAACGTTTAAAACACGATTTCCATCTTCAGAAAATGCAGCATTTTCACACGTGCCTCAGAGTGAAGGTTGAGTCGCGAAATTAACTCAGAAGTACTCAACTCAAAAGAGAGCTGCAACAGATTTATTTTTAATTAGACGCAATCGTGAGAATAGTGCCCAGTCACACGAAACAAATGGAAGATGAAATTGTGTGGATCTGACACGGGGTTGGCATGTGGATTAATTTATTCCTCATTCAACAATTTGGGAGAAGTGGGGAAACCAGCTGATAGCTGATGGGTTTGTGTGCACACGAACATCTTGACACTGCAGTCTACCAGATCAACACATGGAATGGACGCATTTAAACTATTCAAGAGCTGCTCGAACAGTCACCGAATGACTCAACCAATTTAACACGATATTTCTGTTTTACAGGTCACTTATTTTCAACGAGAATTGATGATCGATTGGCCGCTGGTGAAGCTTTGGATGGGAGAGAATTAACGATGTGGATGGGAGAGAATGTATTTTGTTGCCAAAATGCACAGGAACCCAGGGCCAGTTTAACACATATCGGTTCATTGTGGGTTACATTAGGGAGATTTCGTTTTAATGATTTCGACACGAAATCTAATGACCACGAAATTTAAAGGCAAGTAACAGATTACTGATGAGATAGCTCCTGACAGGTCGGTAGATCGATATGACTCTTTGTATAGGTAAGCAAGGGATTTGATTTACCAAATTGTTTTGAGATTTACGTGAACGCTGGTGCATCGTCGGATTCTGGATTTTACAGGTGATATTAAAGCCTACAGCACGTCACCACCTCCCAGATTCAAAGTGATCAATTGAAATAATAAAACAACACATATTATAACTTTGGAGTCCTATTGATCTCTTTCAACATATTTCCCTGCGTTGTATTTTTTTTTAAAAAAAGTGAATGTACAATAAAAGCTCATTTGAACTATCGATTATTGGGTGTCTCTCGGTTATGCAGTTTCATACTGAAACATGTAGATTATTCCAGCTGTTTTATTTGCAGCGTTTAAGGTTGCTGTACCTTGAACGTTTTGTGCAGTGAGCAAAAGGTTAGCTTTCCCGAAGCTTTTCCACGAATGCCTTGTGAGGTTCAGCTTTTCTCTTTTCGATCAACGCAAGGTAAAGGGAAAAAAATAATTCAATGGCAACAAAAGTTAGTTTCTCCGGTAGGTTATGCTCTGTTTTTTCCAAGAGGATTCGTGCTGTGGAGAATGACTGCAACTGTATTGTTTGTGGGTGATGCAGAGACTAAGCTATAGATCCCAGAAATACAAAACTCGCGAGTTTCCCCACATATATCCCATTTCTCTTGGGTTGGTATTATATGCTATTAGAATAATGCCTGTTACATTTTTTTTGACTTGTACGAGTAAGTTTTTTCAATAAGCTTCAGTTGTTACCTTACCCAACAATATAGCAGCACGATAGATTAAATCTGTCTTTTTTTAAACATATAAAACCAATATTGGTGGTTTGATCATTCAATTTTGAGCGCAAACTACATTTTTTGGAACCATTTTCTTGTAGAGCTTGAGTTCATCCCCCCCACCCCCACCCCCTCAAAACTTGCATGTATCTTTCCAGAATTGAAATAGCTATTTTAATTAAGTGACTCCTCGTTCAGTGCCGAAAAAAATAATTTCACGATCTCCCACCTGTTCCATTTGGTCTCGTTAAAAAGACACCACCCGATTAACCAGGTCCAGGTTGCTTTCATACCTGGTGGAGAGAGAAATTAACCCTTTGGTTTTTACCCAGTTGTGATTGCTTCGCTGAAGTCCATCATTCGTTGCTGTTAACACAAAATTACGAACATCGAGTTAACAAAGAATAATGCCAGAAAATAGCAAATATATCATATATCTTTACGTTTAATATCATTTTCCCGAGAACCAAGGAGAAAACAGGCGGAGAGAAACCGGGGCGAATTGTTTGCTGTTGATGTAAGTTCCATCCACTTCACTTCATTTAGAAAACAGATCGCACGACTTTAAGCGTAAAAGGTATTTTGCTGAAAAAAAATATCGTGTTTATTCGCTGTAGTTGCAATGACGTTTTAGTGGTTTCAATAGGTGTGATTTTTAAAAAAAAATAAAACTTCGCTGAATCCGGAGTTATTTAACTGTGTTATTTGCTGAGTAGGAACTTTAAAAATATATACTAAGCGTTACGTACGTTGGAAAATATACATCAAATCATAATACATTTACATCGCCAATCATTGGATCAGATCACGAAAGAATTGGTTTCATTTAAAATGAACTGGTAAGGATTTAAACCGTATGCATTAAAATACGCATTTGTTTTCTTCTTTTACCATTTTCACAAACGCTACAATGTAAAATTTGAAAAGACTTTGGACTGAATTATTTTCTCAGTTGAATGAAACACCTCTGACAAACATAATCATGGTCCTGTATCCCAGAACCTGAACAGTATCCATTGCGTTACATGTGTTTGGTGCAACCGATAGTAAATAGCTTCTGGTGAGTTTCACTTTATTCCACTATTTATTCAAGGACCAGCATATTCCGTGTAGATTCACTAACGCGTCAGGAACACGGTGGGTTATGTACATTTAGGTGTGTGCGTTGTCAGTTGATTATTTTTCATCAGATTTTACAGGGGCGGATAACACTGTGCACTCCTTTGAAAAATGACAATTATGGATGTCCCCTTAATACTGTCAAATGGTGTGATTTACTGGAAGTGCATAAGGGAAAATACAATACGTAAGTGTTTTATTTGTATGAATTGTCTACAATTCGCCTCCAAATGTTTTATTCATTCGACAGAAGAGCACTGTCAACCTCTGTAACACTGTTGTTTTTTTACAAAAAATTCTCATTTGATACATTTTCAACTGAAGAAAACGTTTGTGAATATGTTTTTTTGTGTGTGTCCTTACAAGTGTATGATTCGTAACTATATTTTTATATAGCAATATCCATATGCATTCTCATTAAGTGTTTATTCCAAATCAAAATACTGAATTTGTTGGGATTGATTAGATACATAATATTGAACCAGGAGCTGGTTTGTGAACTGTTTGTGAACAGTTGCAAAACTTGGTTGGGATGTTTATTGGAAACTGAAGGCTTTTAGAAATACTCAAGCAGCACTCCATGCATCACTTGTGTTAACTTAGAGAAACAAGAGGAAAACTTTTAAAATATAGTTTTTAAATATTTAGTCTCCCCTTAACAAGGTGGCCCCTAATAGGAGTTCCAAATAATGATTTGTTTAGATAAAAGCTGAAAGATTGCCACAAATATTGATGAATTAAAAGGGGAACAATTTGATACTAAACTTAAAAGTAGCAACTCTGCATTTTTGTGGTCAAACATCTCACCTTTCTTCTCTCTTGAAGACATTAACTCTTACTGTGAAGAGTTCCATGGGTTCCAGCCAACATCTGGTACCAATCTTCAAGTGTGAATCTGGAAACATGTATCAGAGTTTGCTCTTTGACGTTGGAGGGCATTGCAGCCAATCTAATCTGGGAGATCAAGGACAGAGAGGTCAGGGGGAGAGTGGAAGAGGAGATAAAGTGACTCGGTCACATGGATAGAGAAGAGACCGTGTGATGAACAGATTACACAAGCTTCAAGAATTACAGTAAATCGCTCTCTCAAGTGGAAAGGGTGCTTAGGGCTGTGCATAATTGGGCGAGGAGAAACAAGAGGAAAGGTTTTCCCTCTATTGAGAATAATAGGTGATTATGATGGAGGAATGGGGGGAGGGGGAGGGGGAACATGTATTTAGATCTAGTGTTGGGTTTATATTGTAGGGCTGGAAATAGTGCTAGTGGTCGAGTCTTGCAATGTGTGCTGAGGCTCACATGTCAGCTCCTACGTTCAGCTTGGTTGTCAATGTCAACTGGCAGCACTGTAATGGAGTCTTCCTGCTCAGATCAAGTTTTCACTTTGGCCTAATTGGTCTCCAACCAACACACAAGACTGTTTCTTAAATGACTCCAGCTTTTTGGCCTCAACCACCTTTCTGAAAGCCGTTCCAGCTGTTTATTTGGCTCTGTGTCATGATGTTTCCCTTCACAATCTGAACTTGTGTCTTCCTGTATGTTCCCTTTATTTCATGCCTGGAAGCTACCAGATATTCTTAGCTCACTCTGTTCCTTTTAGGGATGTCAGTTTAATTTACTTCAGAAGGAGTTGTGAACCACACAAATCCAAAGTAATTGAGGAATAGCAATTCAGCTGGATTGCAACTCAATGCAACTTCACTGTTAAATAATCAAACCTCTGTGTATATTTTCAGACCGTTTTGCAGTGCTGTAAAGTGCCACAGTCTGCAAACGAGTCTTCTGCACATTGTGGTTATTATATCACATGAAAGATGAAAGAATCATGGTAGGGTCCTGAAATATATCTCATCATGTGAGAATAATGGAACATTTATGATTACTGTAATTTCCCAATATTATAAAGACATTATGCATTTTAAATCAATGTGGTATCTAATTATTTTATATGACTCATTTTCACATGATATACACAAGCTTTCAAACCATGGGTTTGTGAATAATTTAATGGATTATTTGTGGGTAATTGGAGTTAAACTACTTAATTATTGTAAATCTATTTCTCTATAAAAGCACATTTTAATTTTTACTTTATGGATTGTTTTAATGGGGCATTGCTGTCTTTATGTGAGAGTAAATGTAATTGCTAACATTAACATTATTATTCTCTTAAACTCCAATTCTTCTTGTATGAAATGATTCTAACAAGTTGGTAGAAAAAGGCATGATTTCTAGAGTTTGGCGTTTTTAACCTTTTACAATTATGCATTTTAAGATTATTTGTGTTTTATTTTAATTTCCATCATCTTTTGATAATGTTAGTCCTTGGTAGTTCCATTGCGTTCCACTGGACCACAGGGCATTTTTGCTGGCTAACATGGCTATATGAATTAGATCTTCTTTTAGCCTTCCAACAGTGAAATATTTGTCCTCAGATTAAAAACGATTTCTTTGGTACACTGAATTTCCTAACTTTGACTAGTTGTTTCCCTAAGCCTGCTTTTTGCTCTGGTGATAATTTCGTCTTCATGTTGCCAATCTCTGCATGCTTCTCAGTGAGAGCTACGTATCTCTGTGGAAATTTCTGTGCACTCTCAAATTAGTTTCACTTTATCATACGGTGCATTTACATGTGCTTTATATTTGCTTTGTTCCAGAGTGCTTTGCATAACCTTTTGTTGATCGTTTGAAAGCTTTGTGAACAGTCAATCTCAGTTACATTTGAAAAGGCCTTGCAGTAACATTATCAAAAAAATACAAAAATGTGGCTCTGGTATCCTGAATGGCAGCTCCCTCTTGTGGAAACTTGTCTTAATAACATGGTGTGTCCAACAGATTTTTTAATGCATATTTACGGTGGAAAACCATTGTAATAAGTGGTACTTCCCATGGATAAATACAATATGCAAAATTCAAAAATACATAAATACAACATTTCTTATTTTAATTATCTTTACATGAAAATAAAAATAAAATAACAGTCTCTTATTTATTACTACATCTGTCATTATATATCCTTAGGCCAATTGTACCAAAAGTTAATTGGTATAGAAGTTATATTATTTTAATATCAAATTGAAGTGCTTTACAGCAGATGAGCAGATAGTGAAAATCATTAATAACAAAGGAAATCTTTTTGCTTGTTCACATGACTAAAGACAGAATGTGTTTTGTTTTTTAAGGCGGCAAAATGTTTGTAGTTCATGTGATTAAAATTTGTATGACCTAGCTTTAAGAACTGACGTTCGCTCTATGGAGTTGATGTAAGTGGCAAGCTTTACAATTGACAATCAGAATGCATGTTAAATCAAATTTATACTTCATAAA